GGAAATTGGAAAATCCTTAAACGAAGAAAGATGATTAAGCCTTTCCTTCCGTCGATCGTTTCTACCCGTCAAATACCCGAGAGCTGAATTTTATATCTAATTTCAGAATTTCTTCAAAGAGAATTTAGATTACCATCTTTAAGAGATGGATACCGTTCAAGTGCGGTTGATCTCTCGAAAGTTTCAAAGTTTCTTTCTTTTTCTCTTTTTTTTTTTTTTTTCCAAGTCTGTGGAATTTGTCGGTAACTGATGTACTCGAAAGGGGAGGGGGTGGGAAAAAATTCGAAAGAATGACGATACGATCCGATATATTTTCTCGAAACTAATTTAACATCCGAGTAATTTCGTTGCTAACCCAATCGAAAAGAGCCCCATTTATTATCGGAAATAACCCGACAGAACAAGTTCGCGCAAAGAATGGACGTTGTAGAAAAATCTAAAAATTACTATACAACGGAAATGGAAACGTTGAACCGAGATAAAACGACGATCGATCCGAGCGGGTGCCTTCAATTCGAACCTTGTTATCCCGGACACCGGTTATTGGTGAATTAACGATCCGACACGTCGGCCATTTTAATTTTCTCGATACAAGCAGATTACCTACATATACAAATTACCGGTACATTTCATTTCTGGGGGGAGGAGGAAAGGGACAAACGTCGATTCCCTTCGGAATCCCGATGACCAATCGATTCCGATGTTTTATCTTCGGATAGCGGTGCGAAATTTCTCTCGTATTTCATCGCTCGCGTCACGAGATAATTTTCGCAAAACGAAAATTCCACCATCACGATATATTCGCGCGTATTGTAGAGTCGTAAAGTCGTTTCTCTTCGTCTCTCGTTCGTTCCTCTCGTTCACTCCTCTATCCTCCCCGTCGATGATCGTATCGATAGGGGAGCATCTCTACCCGATTGTTCGACTTCCTTGGAAACTACAGCCGAGTGAATCGACTATAACACTTTCAACGATTCTCCCCCCAAACGGTGTCGCGCCTTTCCGTTCCAAGATTATCCTTTCATCCGGGGAAGATGATTCGTTTATGGATCAACCAGAGTAGAGTATCCACAAGATAACACCCGCGCCCATCTCTTTCCATCGGGCAACTCGAGATTTTCCCCCTCCACCCCTCTCTCTTTGATCGAGGCAAAATTGCATATGCATCGTGACACGACACCGAGAGGGAGGAGGGGGAGGGGAACTGGGTCGATCCAATTAAGCGAAACAAAGCTGTTTAATGCACGCGGTCGCAGCCGAAGTAAACGCCACGTGTGTGGCTCGTGACACCGGCTGATCGATATCGAGCGTGACACCGTGTCACGCCTCCTTCGAAGAATATATCTTGCATGGATACCGCGATGCGTATTCGCGGTACGTAGGGCGTGGTTGTTTTATTTTACTTGGTCGGAGGAAAGAGGGGGTGGAACATTTGGTGGGACGGGATGGTTAACAGGATTGTTCCCTTCTTTCTTCGAAACAGATTTCATCGTTTGAATGCGGGTAGATATATCTGACTCAGTCCGTGATCCGTTCAATCGAATATAAAATAGACGGACACAGGGAAGATTAATTTTTTGCCAATCTCGTGTATTTAATTCATCTTATATTCAATTCAATGATTTCGTATATTCAACATTCCTCCAGCTTTCTTCTTTGGCAGATGGCAAGGGATGCGAAATTCGAAGGTGCGGAATGGAATAGAGGAGGGGAGGGGATCGATAGAATTTTTCGATTTAAATTGGAGGAGCGAGAATTCCCGACTGTTGATGATGTCCGATCTCGATCGGCGGATTCAACGATCAGATGGATTTTATGCTCGCGCTTGAGAGAATCGTAGAAGAAAAGGAAGGATGGGCCGTGAACGGTAAAATTGCGATCATAGTCGTTTGGAAGGGAGTGATGGCGTGTCGCCTGGGAATGGCCCCCTCTTTTTCCCTTTGAGATACCCGTTCCGAGCACAAGTTGGGGAGGAAAGCGCGAGTATCGCGTAGCAGAAACGGAGTAGAGTTATCGTGTATCAAAATTTCGATATTGGACTGGTTTTCCGATATCCGAGCGCGGATATACGATATCATTTTGCGAGCGTTGAAGCTCGAGCAGCTGGGAATGTCGCTTCGAACGATCCTTGCCTGGGACTTTATTGAAAACATCGCGGAATCGCAATTTTGGTTTTCATTCCGGTATTCGATTCCGATTGGACACCGAGAGAACGAGCCGCGAGCTTGTAATCCTCCGCGACAAAAATATTCGACGATCGCGGGTCAAAGGTATTTTATCCTACGATGCGCTGAATTCGAGAACGCTGTAAATTCGATGGAAATCTCGTATCGCGATTTTACGCGAATCGATCGAAGATCGTGTTTAAACATGGGTCGATATTGGGAGAAAAATATTTGCCTTCCTTTCTTTCTTCTTCTTCTTCACAATCTTTGCAATAAATTATTAGGAATCCAAACGTGAAAGCAATCTCAAAGCGATATCCGTACATGAGGAATGGACTGAAGGAATTGAGCCAGTACGACATCGATTGGCCCGAGTACGATCCTCAGAATCAGAGGTACCTCAATCTTAGTAAGTTCTCAAGATTGTCTTGCCGGCGACCGACTACACCGACCACTGATTAAAGAAATATACGAATGGTAAATGAATATAGCGATTCCACCGAGCACGGGTATGCAGTACCGACTTGCTGAAATGCAATTCTGGAACGAGCATCTACCCAAAATGCTTCTTCATCCTGGCAAAGACATACCGTTGCCGATCCGACCGAAAGGGCCGAGACCGCAAATTCTCGACATCGCTGATGGGATTGGAAAGTATGCGAATGCGAGCAGGGATTATGACACGTACGGTTCCAGGTTGGTAACTTTTCATCATTGATTAATTCTCGAATCAATTCCTTCTCAAAAATTCAATGTACGGAGAGAGTACAAATATCATTTGCATCTTTTTTTTTTTTTTTGAACGTCCATCTTCTTTCATACATTTCGTATCGTTCATTTAGGACGACGATTTAAAAAGTGATACGAAATTCATCTCTCGTTAAATGTTGAAATATTATTGTGAAAGATAGATGGCATTTTTAAGTAATAAAAACGCGGTTAAACGCGTTAATCCAGACGCGGACATTGCTCTCCGCTAAAAGCATCGTCTCATTTCGAGAGGGAATGATTTGAATGATAAATTAGAGAGATCGAAAGATAAATCTGTCGCGAATATATATATATATATCCTTTTCTAGAAATAATTCAATTTAATTCCGCCGCTCGTCCTACACGTATCGCACCGACGTTTAAACGTATCGTCTAATTAACGAGCGGGTTAACGACGCGACAATCATTGTTTATTTTAAACCGGGTGAAATGCGTGTTATTTATTCTCTCGTTGTCTCGTGAAAAATTCAGGTCCGGGGATCGATTGAAAAATTAAAAGCACTCATTTTCGTGCGGCGTTATGCGAGCCTCTGTGTTTATCAAACCGTGGCGCCCAACATTTAATGAAACGTCACTTGCACCGCGCCGCGTCCTGCTTCCTTATTTGTCCCCAACGTTTAAATTATTTCGCGCGCCGTTATTCGAACGGAATCCATTCAAAACGCAAGTACAAAGAGGCGAAAGATTTCGCTCCAGTTTCGCCAGGCTTAACTCATTAACATTCCGAGAGCAGCCCAGGATACCCACCACGGCCCCGCATTTTCCCCGAACAAACGAGCACACCATGATTTAATCCCTCGAAACAAGTAACCGGTTAAATTCCAACACCTTATCGAATTACTCGCAATCCCGTCTATGAATATCTGTACAAGGCCGTACAAATCTGAGAAACTAGCAAACTAAAGTTCAATCCAAACTCGCGTGTACTCCTGAAACGATACAAGTTTTCCCACCTCCTCCTCCTCCTTCGAGGAAGCTTCCCTGCAAACAACATCTGCAGTTCTCCCAACTTTCGCGTTCCCGCGTCTTTGCCACGCTCGTAAAAATTAACGTCTCCCTTTCTTCCCTGATTTATCGATTTAGCTAGCACCAGTTTTCTTTTTCTTTTTCTCTTTTTTTTTTTTCTCGAGTCGAATAAGCGTCTCGCGTTGCAGATTCAAGGAGGGGAGTCGAGGCGAGGCGGAGGAGATATCGACGACCACTGAGATCGCTACCTCCCCCCAATCGTCTGAGGAGGAAGCGATTCCACAGCCAAGCGCGCCCAAGAGTTCTTCCGTGATCGCTATGCTGACGGGTTTCGGCGCGTTATTCTTGCTGATCAACTTCACGGCGTGCCTCTACCTGTACTGCAAGAAGCAGGAGACGAAGATGAGGGGGACAGGGGTGAAGAGGCGGGCGAGCCAGAAGGAAGGGAAGTCGGACAAGTACGAGAACCATTACGGGGAGCTTGGTTACAAGAGCGACAGTAAACCGGATCTGAACGACGTGATAAAGAACGACAAGGCGTACGACAACAACTCGAACTTCGGCAGGCGGTCGAAATTGTCGAGGCAGAGTTCCGGATCCACCATAGACACCCACATCAAGGTTAGGGAGTGGATACAACAGGAGATAGTGCACAGGTAGGTTGTCGGTTTCGAGCGATCGGATCGGAAAATCGGCCTCTCCCCTTTTCTCCCAGTTTCGCAACGATGTCGATCCGTGGTCGAGGAGTTAATTAATCCAATCGAGTTGGGCTCGCTCCCGGAGACTTTGATGTTTCGCTGATTCATCGGAATCAATGTCTCGGCTACGCCCTCGATTTCGATCCTCCATTTCGACCCTCGATTCCGCGTCGTTGAAATTCACTTTAATCACGGAGATCGATAGAGATCGATCGGTGAACACTTTGGACCGAGTTTCTTCTTCGAGTTGAATGAGTGCTCCTCTGTTCCTTGAAATTGGAGAGCTGTGCACAGTTTTCCAACTTCTCTCTCGCTCCGTCTGTCCATTACTTATTTCGCTCGTCTCTTTCTTTGCCGATTTATCATCAATTAATCTCTACGCGTCGTCTCAATCTCCGAAAGCGTCCATCTTTTTTTTTTTTCTTTTTTTTTTACTTGGCTAAAATATTTTGTTGGAAAAGGTGTTCCCCCAGGTTTCTCAGGAAGACGCGCGAAACGTTGCAAAAGGAGCATGAGGACAAATTGACGAAACAACAACAGCAACAAGAAGCGGAGAAGAAAAGGTTGGAGGAGGAGCTGTCGAAGGAGAGGAAGGAGGAGGCGAGGTACGATAAAGATCCGACGCTGATCGTACGTCCTGGCAAGAAATCAAAGGTCCCGAAGGTATCGGTGGCCATCGACGCCACACCCGCGGCAAGAACCGAATCGATCCTGAACCAGATGCCTATCGAGCTGGCGAAGGGCGTCGAGGCGGGCCTCGACCCGTTCAACAAGAGTATCGATTATCCGATGATCGATCCCAGCCAGTTGCAAACAGCTCCTCAGGTGGTTGTCATAGAGCACCATCACTCGAAAAGCGATCCGTTACCGATGGAAAACGTGTTGAAGAGCGTGAAACCGAATTTCTCCACGCCGAGGATTTACGAATCCGATTCGGGGAGCACGAGCAGCCTCTACGCCAAGATTAACCCCAAGTTGAAATCCCGCTTGCCCCGCCCCGAATTGGCGG